TTTTGTATCTCGATAACTATTCGTCCAAGCGCAAAATAGTACAATACTTTTCTGTTTGTCTTAGTCCCCTCTACCTTCCCATGACCGGAAGTCAATATGTTGCGTAGCACCCTGTATACAATATAAAACAATGCCTATGATTCAATGACGCTGTGCCTCCGCGTTGTTCATATACATATAATCGTTTATATACTTTATATAATGCGTAGCAACGTAAATGTCTCTTTTTCTTACCGGATTGCGGAAATATACGCTGTTCACAGGTCTTTATTAATTAATAACTTATTATTTATTGTTAAAATGGCAAAATGGTACAGAACTTTTCTACTCAGCTTAACCAGCCTTACCTACACTGTGCGAATGTTATACTTATTAAACAGCTTGAATATGTAAAACAACATTTTAAATTTAAAGGTATCATACGACAAAAAATTATACAAATTACTTTCGAACATTCTTTAGTATTTGGCGTTTCCAGTGTGTTTGCTCCTATTGCCGCTAAATTTTTATCGAGTACTTCAAACATTTTGCTGATAAATGATTCTCAAGTACGTCAAATGCATTTCGCAACGGAATACTTTGTCGACCAAGAAAGATACTTCTCTTTAATTTTATTACATCTAAACACAGCATTTTGCATAGGATTGTTTATACTAATAGCTGCAGGAACAATGCTCATTGTATATATCCAACTTGCATGTGGAATGTTTAGAATTTCTAGGTATGAAAAAAATATAGAAGTTGCTATAAGATTCAGATTATGAAAAAATTACATTATTATTATAAATAGAAATTCTGTTTATTACCTTAAACAGAATTGTTATATTTCGAAAAAATTTGAAAATAAAGTTTATCTTGTAAAAACAAAGAAAGAACTCGAAAATATGTTATTTATAGTTACCGTATTAAACGTGCAGTGAGAATCAATATGTTAAAAAACAGTAATACGAGAAATGACAAAATCATGTTTGACGGAATTATTTATGCTATAGATATGCATCGGCAAGCTATGAAGTTAGTATGTAAAAATTATACAAATAAATCATATAATAATATTAATTTGTGTTTGAAGATTGTGTGATCTGCTCATATCTAAATTTGAGATAATGCTGCTCATTCTAGTAGTATTTGGAGTAATCTCTTTGAGTCTCAACCTCTTCCAAGTAAGTCTCTCTTCCAAGGAATCTTTAGTTTGAAAAGGGTCTTTATTTAATATTCCATAATGTAGTTCTATAGTAAGAGAGTGCGTGCTTTTAGTATTAAATTTAATTAATATTTCTAATTAATTCTATGTATAAATAAATAAATACCTCTTTTCTTCAATTAATGAATCGCCATTACCGTTTAATAAGATAACATACCATGTAAAAAGTAACAGATAAAACGTTGATAAAAATTGACCTTTTACTTTTCTCTCCGCATACTTTTTTTTACCTAACTCTTTATAATGATCATACTTTAGATTTTTCAGATTGGTTTATCCCAAGATAGTGTCAAAAACTTATTATTTCCCTCTTTATTCGCAATAACTTGTATTTTATACATGTTCCTAGCCAACTCATCCGGACAGGACGTTATTGATCATACTAATTACGTATTCGTTACTGCGTAAGAGACTTTTATTGTAGAATGTTATTGTACGTGCATACACATAAGCAATTTGTGCATATTTATAATAATAATAATTATAATAAAAGCGTATGTCTTATTTGTAGAATGATTAGAGTCCATGTTAATTATTATTAAACATCTCTTTCTTTTTCAACCTATCGATTCTATGTTTATATAATTTCGCAGGTACAGCGTTCAATGGTACTTGACTCCCTTATACATACAAAAAACGATACTCTTTCTATTGCAAAGAGGCGCCAAAAAGTTTACTTTGAATCTCAAAGGACTTGTTGTCGGATCATTTGAATGTTTTGCTATGGTAAGAACAAACATTACGTATCAAAGTTTACTTGAATATATGATGAATACGTTGAGTGATATCTATTGCAGCTGGTGAAGGCTTCGGTATCTTACTTTGCTGTCATATGTTCGACGCAATAAAAAAGACTGAAAAATAAGTTTAATAGCATGGTATATGTATAATTAATTAAAATGTAATAATATATATTACTTATTATTTAAAAGGTAAGAAAACTTTTACTTTGAGCATGTAGATTAGAGATTTCGCTCAAGCTAACATGTGGAAAATAAAAATTATTTAATCCAAAATATTGCTCTGTTAGACTTTTGCAAAGGCTTCAAAATTAAAAATAATGCATATAAATGCTACATTATTCGAATATATAAAATATAAGTTTAATTTTATATTATATCTTCAATAATTAATTTTACTCGCATGCATAATAATATGCATCAACCATAATATTAAAATAATTTATACTAATTTAATTTATATGCATATGCTTGCATTTTCAAAAATTTTCTGATTATAAGTAAATGATGCATGTAACAAAAAGATATGTAAAGGTTTAAAACAAAACTAGTTCTGTTATGATATTATCTACTGGTGACATACGACAACATGAGCTTGATAAAAAACATGTGCTATGTTTCAAAATGATAGCTAACTCTTTCAAACATGTAGTAATGTGTAAATATATCAATAAAGTTATGGCATCGAAAACGACCAAATGTGACACATTTATATGTATAGACATTTTGTTCACTAATGTCCTTTTTTCTTCATTTTTGTGAGAAGGAAACATCTCTTAAGTTTTCTCATGCGTTGCATTAATTACTTAAGATCGTTAGTAGACCTTTTCAAGGTAAAAACTGCAAAATTGTAAGTGTTTGAATTCATTATAGTGCACTATAATTTTAATACGTAGTATTAGTTTTGTGGTAAAATTTACGATATAAAAAGGAAAATATTCAATTGATCGTACGACAAAAGGAGATGAATAAAATGTCCTCGACTTCATCGTAAGCATATACAGGGTGTTCCGCAATTCTCTGACTGCCGTTCACGAGAAGGTAGAGGGGACTAAGACAAATAGAAAAGTCCTGTACTATTGTGCAATTGGAGCAATAGTTATTGAGATATTGATAATAAAAAATCGCCGTATTAGTCTGACTTACTGCCAAATGTAAGCGCGCGGTGAGATGCGTCCGCTCATCGGCCGCCACTCGAGGCGGTGCGCGGCGGGGGGAAGAGAGGCGCGCTGCTGCCAATCGCGTAAAGCAGTCATTTCATTGACGCTATAATTTAGCGTCAAATATAATCACGTGACTAATGCGGTACACTGAAAAAGCTGAGACGGTCTTAACTTTTTCCCCCACTACATTTTCTTGACGCTGAATTTCGCAAAAGTCACGTGACCTCAATTTACCGCTGGTTTCTAGCGTCCATGTATTAATATACTGATAATAAAGTAACGTGCGCCTGTGTGGTGATACTATTTCAAATCATCACACATATTGCTTTATTATCATTTGAAACCTATGCAACACCTTCTTGTATGCAGTTCCCTTATATGTTCTACACATATAAGAAAAGCATAAATGAAAAAAACACCCATATAGATAATTCCAACCAAATAACATTTTCAAAATAAAAGTCGCTTTCTTTACAACCTTTTGTCTGTGTCTAATATATTTTGAGATTTTGCATTGTATTGTACGAATAGTAAATGGACAGAATGTGGACAATACAATACTGTTCGAAATTTTTTCCGACAGTTCTTATTATTCGATTTATCGTAATGTGCATATTAATATGTGCATATTAAATCTCGTGTGTTAGAAACAGAAAACTAAATATAATTCTTTTCGGCAACAAATTAAAATGTAATTCTTTTTGGCGCAAATTAAAAATGTTAAGACATTAAGAATAGACATGCATAATAGCTAGTATAGGTAGTCAAATTATTTTCGATGATAGATAATTGACTAACAATATTAAAAATAATATTTACTAATTTGAGACTGATATGCCACTATACGTAGTATGCGTGTATACCTCACGAGTGAACACACTAGAATAAAACACGGTGAAACTATGATACACTCAAGAGTGGCGATTGCGACTGCGCGACTTTTGTACAGAAGAAATTCTCCTACAAACGTTCCTTCGTGAGAAAAAGAACATCCGCTAAATTGCTTTTAGCGTGAAATACATCGTTTATTCATGAACCATTTTATAAGAAAATTTTTTAAATTATCAATACTTCGTATATTAATTACGGTTCTAGCTAGCTTGGCGCGAGACACTACCGTGACTCGTGATATTTTATATTGCTTTACATTATATTAGAATCAAAATATGAAAATTTGTGAAAACGTTTCAGCAGAAAAAACAAAGAAATGAACAAAGAGGGGATAAATCCATCGACTGCTTCTCCGTTAAACGCCTCTCTGTATTCTCGACGAGATGATCTGTCTCAACGCTCGACATTTTAACGTCAATCGAATTCTGTTGCTTGTCGTTGGTCTATGGCCTTATCAACGATCACTAATCGTTCGATTTCAATCAATTTTATTTCTTAGTATCTTAGTGACTTACGTTATATTTCAAGTACGTTAAAATTTTAATTTTATTATTGTAAAATAAGCCATTGAATATTATTACATATATCAAATTACTTTAATTATATCTGACTATTGAGAACAGATCATAAAATATTTCTCACTTCTTCAATTGGAGTCTATACGAAGTGTCAACTGACTCAACTAGTATTTACTGTGATACACTTTTGAACATGCGTAATTATGCATAATGATTATGTTTCTTCTCTTGTACTGTATCCAACATTTCACTAAAACTTTTAATGTAATCGTATATGTTTTATTCGAATCTTATGAACTGAATATGACCTCATTAAAGACCGTAACATTTGTACATTGACTAATATATTTTATTATTTTTGACACTGTTGCAACCAAGGTGAATTTCAAAGTATATCTTTATTAAAGTGTACGAGTATTACAAAAAGCCGTGTCTTAACCAACGTGACATAGGCAAGAAGAACTTAGAGTGCAAGTAACATAGAGTGGAGCAGAAATAAAACTTAGTTCAGTAATGCCATCTGGCTTAATTTGGAGTATCTTTTCCTCAACAGACACTAATAACATAGCCTCAGATTCTTACCACATTATACTCAACATTTATTTTTATTTTAAGAATCATTAACTCTCGTTTAATTAAATATATCTATTAAATTTCAATCTGATAAATATAATTAAAGTAAATTGATTATACAGAGTGTCGGATTCGATTTGGACCACTCCAAAGATTATAGTAGATTGGGTCAAACTGAGAAGAAAAGTTATACATATACCGTTTTACAAAATCCATAATTATTATCACGTAATTAAGAAAAACGTCTGAGCCAATAAGTGCACGGAGGAGCTGAAGGCCGGACTCGGCAGACATGTAAAATGGTGTATTATTCTCCTACCATCAGAAAAACTTTTTCGGCGCGGTGTCATATGTCGCGCGTTCGCCCGCTGCGCGCCGTTCGCCCGCTCACCGCTCCCCGCTCGCCCCCGTCTCTCATCGATCGATGCATGACTCCACCTATCGCTATCGGATCTTGAGAGATGTCAACAAATACACCATTTTGCATGTCTGCCGAGTCCGGCCTTCCGCTCCTCCGTGCACTTATTGGCTCAGACGTTTTTCTTAATTACGCGATAATAATTACGGATTTTGTAAAATGGTATATAACTTTTCTTCTCAGTTTGACCCAATCTACTATAATCTTTGGAGTAGTCCAAATCGAATCCGACACCCTGTATATATCAGATACAATTATATTGTATAATAATAATCCATTCAACATAAAATAATTGTGATATAATTATATTAAAATATTACTTGCAATATTTACTAAATTAATATACACAATATGCAGATCAATGGACGATCGACAAATTACAGTTTTCTAATCAGACAAGTTACTGTTGTTTTTTTAATGTGACTAATTTAATTATTAAAAATTATTTTTTGCAGTTTGCTACATTCTTGACGTCAAAATGTACTCCAGAACGCATTCTCAAAGTTTTGTCTAGTTCATTATTTAACATATGTATTGCGATTGAATATAATTCATTTTGGATTAACGCCGAAACAGTAGGAGTGTTATCAATTAAATATGCATTAGTGACACGTAGAATTTTTGAATGTTAAACTATCGGATTTTTATCTGTTTTTATCTGTTAACAATAAGACTAAATGTAAATTAATACGATTCTTCTTAATTTCTTTTTTAGATAATTTCATGACTTGATTTTTAGTATTGAAAGTATAATAGTATAATTATAATAATAAAGATTATTTTAACAAGAAGCAATATAAATAAAAATAAGTTAGTTCTAATTAATAAAAAATACAAAAGTTTGACTATAATTATTTTCGAATTTTAAAAAGTAAAATGACATACAATATTATTAATAGGTAAGACGTTTGTTGGAGCAGCTTCAAGATGTATGTAATAAGTTAAAAGATGAGAACGAAATTGCTATTATAAAAAAGTGGGGGAGTAAGGCAAAATACTATACAACTACACTTATAAGTAAGACAATGGTAGTCATATCTTTTATACAGGGTGCTCCGCAACATTATGACCACCGTTCATGGGAAGGTAGAGGGGACCCATGAACGGTAATCAAAATATTGCGGAGCACCCTGTATGTCCAAAAATAGATGAATTGTAAACAGATTTTTACAAAGTAAAACAGATTCTCCCTATCCTAAATAGAGCAAAATTAAAAAACTAAAAATCAACTAAATGTATGATTTACATGAATAATTTTATATAATTTTTTCAGTACTTTGCTTATGTGGTGAAAGTATTTTTATTTTTATACAAATATGGTCACATATTCAATACATTCTGCCTACTAATGAGTCCCGATTTAATCTCATGTCAGTGAATTTCATAACAGAATATTTTAATGATCAAGAAAAATATTACCATGTAATAATGTTGTATACCGTAACAGCTTCTATCATAGGGATTGTCGCATTGGTAGCGACAGGAACGATGATCATGGCATATATTTATCATGCCTGTGGAATGTTTAATATTGCTAGGTGAGTAAATAAATGTTAAAATAGATGTACAATATTTTGTTTCTTATCTTCTATGAATTTAAATCAATTAATTAGTAGCATAAAATTATTTACAGTTACCGTATCGAACAAGCAATCAATACTTTCCAAAAAAATACCTTAAAAAGTGAAAACAAGATTTATAAAGAAATTAGTTATGCTGTAGATATTCATCGCAAAGCTATGGAGTTGGTATATATTCGATAATGGCTATTTAATATACTAACATAATAAAATAAATTGATTCATCCTTACAGATTTATCGACTATTTGGTATTAACCTTTGAGGAATCGTATTTTTTCTTTATTGTAATTGGCATAATTTGTCTTAGTCTTAATTTTCTTTGGGTAAATATCCGAGCATTTAATTGTAATTTCATAATAGTAAAGTTTCATGAAAAAGTCAAGGAAATAAGAAGACATACGAAAATATTTTTTTATCGCCGTATATTAATTAAAAACAAAAGTTTATAAAAATACTTGTCGCAATATTTTTTTCTCATAAGCCATAACTGCAATATACATATGTGTGTGCGCGCGCGCGCCTTTGTGTGAGTGTATAACGTAAGAAAATCATTATTTCTAAAATAAAAATGCCTAACATTAAAACTAATTAGTAATTCAATATTCTGATCCACTGACATAAATAACGTTTCATTATACAATATAAATAGAACAATATAATTCGATTGCATATTAAAGAAGTTGACCGTAAGTTTATAATAATCAATGCATCACAATGTTTAGGCTACATCGTATAGCAGTAATGTTGAGCAACTTATAATACCCATTTTAATAATATTAACCCTTTATGCGTATTTGTTCATATTGAATTATGTTGCGCAGGAAATTACGGATCACAATGAATACGTATTTGTTACAGTGTAAGTGATATTTCCAATATTTTGTTATACAGGGTGTCGGATTCGATATGGACTACTCCAAAGATTATAGTAGATTGGGTTAAACTGAGAGGAAAAGTTATATACCATTTTACAAAATCCGTAATTATTATCGCATTATTAAGAAAAACGTCTGAGCCAATAAGTGCACGGAGGAGCAGAAGGCCGGACTCGGCAGACATGCAAAATGGTGTGTTTGTTGACATCTCTCAAGAATCGATAGCGAGAGGTGGAGTCACGCATCGATCGATGAGAGATGGGGGCGAGCGGGGAGCGGTGAGCGGGCGAACGGCGCGCAGCGAGAGAACGCGCGACATATGACAACGCGCCGAAAAAGTTTTTCTGGTGGTAGGAGAATAATACACCATTTTGCATGTCTGCCGAGTCCGGCCTTCAGCTCCTCCGTGCACTTATTGGCTCAGACTTTTTTCTTAATAATGCGATAATAATTACGGATTTTGTAAAATGGTATATAACTTTTCTTCTCAGTTTAACCCAATCTACTATAATCTTTAGAGTCGTCCATATCGAATCCGACACCCTGTATAAAAGTATTCATTTTTTATCTTTGTAATAAAAATGACCGAAAATGTTACAGTAAAAGTACTAATCCATTCGTAGAACAAATATAGGGTGTCAAATTTCTCAGTGACGAACTAAAACGTGATGGTAAATTGGGTCAAACTGAAAAGGAAATGTCATGCACCATTTTTCAAAATTTGTAATAGTTATTATACAATTAAAATAAATGTGAATGAACACATAAGGAGGAACACATAATAGACCGAATTCGGTATTCAGAAAAAATCATACATTTGTTAGATATTCTAGCGGTGAATATCACTTGAAGCTTATCATTCACTGTGTGAGAATTTTTTCTGCACGGATTATACGCATAGATCTTACACGTATACATGGACAGGCAATGCAAACTGATGATGTCCGTACTTCTCTCTCTACAAGTGTTCGGAAATATATTTTGCGCATGAGTGCACTAATTATACAGGTTGTTATGTAACATCCGCCTTACCTCTTATACGGATAGAGCGGACTAGACTGAGTCGAAAAATCCTCTACTATTTTGCTATTTTCGTAATAGTTAACGAGTTATTAATTATTAAAAAATCGCTGTCTTAGCCCGGTCTACCGTCCGATTCAAGCTCGCGGCGAAATACGGCTGTTCCTCAGTGGTTTTTCATCTTCAGTTTGACCCAATCTATTATAGTATCACATTTGGTTGGTCCGTAAGGAATTTTAGATACTCTGTATATGTATACTATAGTAAAACATTTTATCGTTATCGTTTACAACCATTAATTGTTATACTTACAATCATTAATTTGTCATTATTTTGCAGATATAATGTTCGGTGGTACATGGCTCCATTACATGTCCAGAAAATGATATTGTTTCTATTGCAAAGAGGCAGTAAGGTTTTTCATGTAATTCTCGGTAGAATATTTGTTGCATCCATGGAAAGTGCCGTCACGGTAACAGAGAGAGAGAGATATATATATATATTTTAAAATATATATTATAATTTATAGCAAAAACTGTTATCCCAAAGAATAAAATTGACAATAACTTTAAGAGTCATTTTGAAATATTTATTATTTGAAAATTACGTATTAGATAACATAAACTATAAAAAGAAGTTTTAATATAGAATAATTTTATATCAAATATTTTACAAAATATAAAAACAAAATAAAATGCTATAATAACAATATCCAAATGCTAACTAACAGTTTCGTAGAGTTAAAAAATAGAACAGAGCATAAAGAAAATTAATGAAATAACTAATAATGTATTGGTTTCTTTATCATCTTCCAGAAATAATAAATTTGTTTACTTCAAAATGTTATAATTTGATTATCCGAAGAAATCAATTATCTTAACATATTGTTCTCAATTGTCTCGCTAAGAAAAACTCTACTATATTTTTAATATAACTTATTACAGAATAAAATAAAAGACACACTTTATTACAGCTACTGAGTACTTCGATATCTTATTTCACTGTTCTCCATTCTATGAAGAAGAATTAAGAGGTTAAATCAATAATAAGAAAATAATAATTTTAATACTGAAATGGGAGAAAAGCAGAGGGGCAGTAAAGATAAAAGAAAAGAAAGATTATGACAATCTTGTATTTTAGATATGGTATGTTGAAATATCAAGTCTACAACAGAAAAAAATTGTTTAAGTAAAAAATTGGGATTTCAAATTGTAATAACTGCAGAATATGTAAAGTTGACAATAACGTTGTCAAAAAGTTGACAAAAAAGACACAATAAAAATACTTTGTTATTTAGATTTTATGTAGTTGTTATTTGTTACACATTACAATTTTACCGTTCAGTTACCGCGATATACATATATCCTCTATCGAGACCTAATTGTATGAGCGGCGACACTTACAATATGTAATGTGAAAAAAGTGATGGAGAGAGGGCTCCCAAATCTCACAATCTACCCGTACAGTGTATGATGTACAGAGTCTATTTGTTATATGCGTATGGTTTTAAACTAGTTTTGAGTCAAGAAAGATTTAACGAGATTTCTACAAGAAATAAATAAGATTAAAATATTTATTCTAAGTACAAACATTCAGTGCTTTAGTATGGGCATAAAAATTTAAACTTTTTATTTAAATATTTTATGTAAATAATTATATAATTATACGTAGGTATGTTTATAAAATATACATATATGTAATTATATGTACATATGGTATATGTATTAGGGTGGAGCATTCAAAAAAATTTTTTAATTTTACAACGCCCGTCGGTGGAAGTGATGCGAATTTGTTTAAAAATAAAAATTTGAAAAGTTTTGACTCGATCGGAGCTCATCTTCTGCCTCCAACTTTAGTTTGAAAATTTGATTATAGGAGTAAAATCATAAAAATTAAAAAGACGCAATTAAAAATTTC